TCCACTGACCCGCAGCTCTTGAACAGACTGGTTGTTTGTCATGGCAGACGGGCATCATTTTAGTGAATGACAAACAGGGAGCATCCTGGCACACCCAGGGCATTGTGGGCATGTTGACTTTCCATTGGAAAATGATTAAATAGTCATTGTCAGTGTTTTACAAGTATATAACGATCACCAAGCCCCAACGACTCCCACAGCAAGACACAGTCTGAGATGTAACAATTCCCAGAGGCGATTTGCTCGGTATCAGGCAGACCAGGTTGAAGTGACCATGAGGGTGTCTTTTTTGTTTGATTATGTAACTCTTCTTTATTGTATTTTTCAGTGTGTCAGGGCATTCTGAGCTCTGGAGGGACATACTTCGGGGCAGAAATAACAATAAAGATCAGGGAAGTCATGGCCATGACAAACACATTCTTGCTTATGACTTACAAAGCTTTGCAGAATGATTGTAGGACTGTAATGGAACCATTGAGATGTGTGCATGCATCAATTGGGTAGTCTCTGCAAGACTGTATGGTTGTAAGTATCAGAGGGGTAGCTGTATTAGTCTGGATCTGTAAAAAGCGACAAAGAGTCCTGTGGCACCTTATAGACTAACAGACGTATTGGAGCATAAGCTTTCGTGGGTGAATACCCACTTCGTCAGATGCATGCCTATTCACCCACAAAAGCTTATGCTCCAATACGTCTGTTAGTCTGCAAGGTGCCACAGGACTCTTTGTCGCTTTGTATGGTTGTAGCCATTCTGCTTCTGTCTTGCTGCTGTTTGTTCCCTTTCCTGATTCTGTCCCATCTGAATGTGGACAGTGCGTTTCTCAGGGCAGGGTCCATTTCTTCCCTTCGGCCTGTAAAGCGCCTACACAGCAGCTCTTGGATATTTTGCAGTGAGAAGTACATAGCGAGATTCTCCTGCACCACTGTGCTGGCACAAACCATCTCCCTCCTCCCACTCATGGCTGCACATGCCTGTGGCAGCAACAGCAGCAGTTGCTTACTAGGAAAAGTAATATTAGGAAAGTGTATGATCTGTTCTAGCTGTCTTAATTAAATTTAGCAGCCGAAAGCCAGGCGAGCCAGCACCATGTGACTAGCCAGCTGTCTGCAGGACGGCAGTAAGGGCAGTTCTTGACACCAAAGAGCCATGCACAGTGGTTTCAGCACCACTGACCTAGCATGCTTGGGGCTCCAGGCATCAGCCTTGTGTGGACTCCCCAGAGTGTTGCTAAGGAGCAGTTTGATCCTGTGGCCAGCCCTTTCCTTGTATTTTGTCAGGTTAATGCATGGTCAGTAAATACGTTTTTTAAACTGGCTGATGTGCTGTGTGCAAAGCACTCCATTGAATATCAGTGGGAAAGCCTTCGCTTTAAGACAAAAGACCTGATGTTAGCAATGGTGTCATTGTGGCTATGTGCAAACGGCGTTATTACAGCTGCTAGCTCCGTGAGCTGGAACAACGCAGATTCCCCGTGGGCGTTGCTTTACATACATCCCTCTTTATTGTTCCTTAGGTTTTGTGCCTTGTGCTCTGCCCTTCTCTAGAGGACAGAATTAAACAGTGTTTGCTGCGATTCCACGAGCATCGGCACTTTAGCTGGAACACCTTGCAACCATCCTGCTGGTGCTGCCCCTTCCACATACGCCAATGCTGTGGGCTCCAGTTACTATGGGGCTGTCATCCCACTTGTATCCGTGCCTGCAGCATTTCCTCTGTTTCCCTGTCTTGTCTTTTATGTATGTGTTGATTCGCAGCAAGATTTTAAGAGAACTTATTAAATAAAATACAGTAGGATGCATATTATCCAACCTGCTGGGGCAGTGCCCGGCTGCCAGGCTGATCAGGGGCTCGTAGACTCAGGAAGGCTTGACTGGCTATAGCGCTCAGCATTAGGTCAGGATTTCATGTTCTGTTGGTTGTTGGCTTCCCTTGGGTATATCGTCAATACAGGGCTAACCTGGGTGATTGGTTCCTAGGTCTGAGCCCCCGGGTTAGCCTAGTCCAGGGGTGAGCAGCCACACTGCAAAGCCCTATCCGACGTACTGTGTCCTCTCCGGGGCTGCGCTCCTCAGTGTGTATCACTAGGACTTCTGGGGGCACCTCCCATGGCTCTTTGTGCTGCAGTGAGCTGAGAAGCTCTATGATTCTTTCCCAGTGAATTGTGGGAGAACTTGTCTGTCCTGGTCACACAGGGGCAATTTTGGGTGGACTGGAAGACTATCAGCACTTGAGTTATTTAGCTGGCCTCCTCACTTCAAAGTGGGCAGGTTACCAGCCCAAGTGAAAGCCTCACTTGGCCTTTAGTCAACCCAGCTAACCTGGGTTGAAACTTGAAAGCACTGACCTGGGATGACTGGGTTTTGTATGCGGACCAGAGGGGTTTAGGGACCACATCCGGGTCAGAGCAGTGAAGACTCACTTTTGCACATATGAATCCCGTTAGCTTCAATGAGACCACTCCCTGGGAGTAAGAGGAGCTGGGTTAGCTCTAAAGTCGGCCAGTTGACAAAGCAGCAAATTGCTTGCTAGACAGGAAGGCAGGTTGGCAGCTCATTGGAGAGAAGGAACGGGATTGCCAGGCTCCAGGTGGCGCAAGGTGACATGCTGTGGTTGCCTAGCCTTGGGAGCTTTCAGAGGCCGCATGTATCCTAGAACCAGAGAGTTAGAAGGGACCACAAGGGTCAGCTAGTCTAAGCCCCATGTTAGACTCTCTGACTGCATTCCGCAGGACTCCTTTGGGAAGTTCTTCCATGAGACCAACATTTCTGGTTTCAGAGCAATATTTTAAAGAGCAACCATGGCAATGCTGTGGCCACAAGGGCTAGCTTGTTCCTGGGATGCGTAAACAGGGAGATCTTGAGTAGAAGTGGAGAATTTATTTTACCTCTGCATTTGGCACTGGTGTGACGCTGCTGGAATGCTGTGTTCAGTTCTGGTGCCCACAACTCAGGAAAGATGTTAATCACTTGGAGAGGGTTCAGAGAAGAATCATGAGAAGGATTATAGACTTAGAATATCTGCCTTATAGTGATGGACTCAAGGAGCTCAATCTATTTAGCTTAACACAGAGACGGTTAAGGGGAGACATGATCACAGTCTGTAAGTACCTACGTGGGGAACAAATATTTAATAACGGGCTCTTCAATCTAGCAGAGAAAAGTCCAATGGCTGGAAGTTGAAGTTAGACAAATTCAGACTGGAGATTAGGCATAAATGTGTAACGGTGAGAGTGATTAACCCAGTGGAACAATTTACGGAGGGTCGTGGCGGATCCTCCATCACTGGCAATTTTAAAATCAAGATTGGATGTTTTTCTCAGAAATCTGCCCTGGGGATTATTGTGGGGCAGGTCTCTGGCCTGTGTTACACAGGAGGTCAGACTGGATGATCACAACAGTCCCTTCTGGCCTTGGACTCTATGAAAAAAATCCATATACAGACTCCAATCTTACTTTAGAAATACTGTCAAAGAAATTAGCGGGAAGAAGGATTCTAGTGAGCAGTTAAAAATAAATTAAATAAATGGAGATATCCTATCTCCTAGAACTGGAAGGGACTTTGAAAGGTCATTGAGTCCAGCCCCCTGCCTTCATTAGCAGGACCAAGTACTGATTTTGCCCCAGATCCCTAAGTGGCCCCCTCAAGGATTGAACTCCCAACCCTGGGTTTAGCAGGCCAATGCTCAAACCACTGAGCTATCCCTCTCCCATTACATTAGGATAATGTAATGTAACTGGACCTGAGTGCGATCAAAGGAAAGCAAGTCACTGCATCATTCGGTCTTGGGGTTCCTGACATGAAACCACCCTAACAGCAGCTGCTTATGTCATTTTCAGATTCTTGTAACTTTTAGGGTGCAGAGTGAGGGAATATGGGGTGTCGGAGCAGTGAAGGGGAATATGGAAGGGCCTTGGACTAGTGCAGGGAGGAGGGGGGAGGAGGTTGGGGAGCAGAGAATAAATGAGGATGGGTGGTAAAGGGAGGGGGAGGATTAGAGGGAGTGGTAGGGGAGGCTGGCAGTCTGGAAGGGGAAATGGGAGTGTGTGGTGGGGGGGTGGATTAGGGGTAGGGGCGCCTGTCAGCACCATATTCTCCCTTTCCATTAAAGATGTGTTGAGGGGGGCTGTGAGGTGGAATGGAGAGGTCAGAGTTGTGCCATGGGGAATGTGGGGGGCTTAATCTCTGTCTCCCCAAACCTCGCACATCTGTTATCCCCCCGTCTCCCCTATGTCTGTCCCCCTGATCAAAAAATGGCCCCACTGGCTCCGTGCTAATCCCCACACCATTCCTGCCTCCTCTCCCCAGCTCTGCCTGCAGGTCCCGAGCCGAGGCCGGCCTCTCCATGGGGAGTAGGAGTGGACCCAGGCTGTGCTGGACAGGCCGAGGGGAGGGGAGAAGACAATGCAGTGGCAGTGAAAGGACTAACATGTAGCCAGGACTTTCTGTAGGCAGCCAGCCATTACCAATAGCCATTGATGGACCTGTGCTCCAGGAACTTGTCTAATTCTTTTTTGAACCCAGTTATGTTCTTGGCCTTCACAACATCCCCAGCAACAAGTTCCACCAGTTGATGGATTGTTGTGTGAAGAAATACTTCCTTTTGTTTGTTTTAAACTTGCTGCTTGTTAATTTCATTGGGTGATCCCTGGTTTTTGTGTTATGAGAAGGAGTAAATAACACTTCCTTATTCACTTTCTTCACACCAGTCATGATTTTGCAGCCCTCTATCATATCCCCCCTCGGTTGTCTCTTTTCTAAGCTGAACAGTCCCAGTTTTTTTAATCTCTCCTCACATGGAAGCCATTCCATACCCCTCATCATTTTTGTTGCCCTTCTCAGTACCTTTTCCAGTTCTAATATATCTTTTTATAGATGGGGCGACCAGAACCGCATGCAGTATTCAAGGTGGGGCATTCCATGGATTTATATAGTGGCATTATGGGATATTTCTGTCTGGTTATACATTTTCTAATGGTTCCTAATGTTTCTTGACCTACAGGCACAAAAGACAAAGAATCAGCTTACTGAAGCAGAGGTGGAGGTGGTCACCATGAGGAGCAAATATAGCATGGCACAGAAAGAGGTACTGTCAATAGTAAAGGCAACCTAATGGGACCCCCCCAGAAGGG